ATTTAAAAAAAAAAAAAGTGTATCTTATTGAGACATTTATACAAAGGTCTTAAATTCAGTGTCCTACATCCTACCTTACTGGCCCAAGCTTCACTCTCTGGTCACCTGGACAGCCTCCTTGCTGCGGTTTGAATGATGGTGTCCCTTTCAAAATTTACATTGAAATTAATCCCTGTGGTGGTGGTACTGAGAGCTGGGGGCTTTTGCAAGGTATTAAGTCATGAGGGCTTTGCCCTCATGAGTGAGATGAGTTGCCCTTATAAATGGAGGTTTTTTTTTTGAGACAGGGTTTCACTGTGTCACTCAGCCATGGCACAATCATGGCTCACCGCAGCCTCAACCTGCTGGGCTTAAGTGATCCTCCCATCTCAACCTCCCAAGTTGCTGGGACTAGAGGCATGCACCACCACACCCGGCTAATTTTTTTGTAGAAACAGAGTCTATGTTTCCCAGGCTGGTGTCAAACTGAGCTCAAGCAATCCTCCTGCCTCAGCCTCCCAAAGTGCTGGGATTATAGACATGAGCCACTGCACCCAGTCAGAAATAAGCTTGAGAGACTGAATTTGGCCCTTTTGCTCTTCTGCCTCCTGCTATGTGATGATGCAGCAAGAAAGCCCACATCAGATGCTGGCACCTCCATCTTGATTTTTCCAAATTCTAGAACTGTAAGAAATAAATTTCTGCTCTCTATAAATTATGGAATCTCAGGTGTTTTGTTATAGCAGCACAAATGGACTAAGACACTCCTTTAACCTCAAATTTAATTTGATCCTGGGGAGAAAACAGCTTTTTACTCTATCCCTTGAAAGTTGAGGAGAAGGAAGTTAGTAAAAAGCCATTTGTAGCTAATTTATTTATATGCTGGGCTGTCCATTAGCTTTACCCTCAAATGAGCAATCAGTTCCATAGTTCATCCACTGTTTTCTCAATAAGATCTTCTGCAAGGTATCAGAAGGAATATTGCTAAAAATGAAAAGGTGAGCTGCTTTGGCAGGAACCTCAAAAGGATATGGAAGGCAACAGGGGCTTTGAGAGCAAATTCACTGTCTAGACAAGTTAGCCATAGTAGAATCAGCAACTTGCTATTTATATACTTGGATGGATTTTCATTACTTGTTTTATCTTTGAATTTTATTTTATTTATTTATTTATTTATTTTTCAGATGGAATTTTGCTCTGTTGCCCAGGCTGGAGTGCAGTGGCATGATCTTGGTGCACTGCAACCTCCGCCTCCCGGGTTCAACCAATTCTCCTGCCTCAGCATCCTAAATAGCTGAGATTACAGGCATGCGCCACAATGCCTGGCTAATTTTTGTATTTTTCACAGAACAGGGTTTCACCATGTTGGCCAGGCTGGTCTCGAGTCTTGACCTCAGGTGAGTCACCTGCCTAGGCCTCCCAAAGTGCTCAGATTACAGGCGTGAGCCACCGTGCACAGCCTATCTTTGAATTTTATAAAGACTCATTTCATAATATGAATATAAAATGATATGTAAATCAGTAATACAAAAGAAGTTTGAAGAAGAAAATAAAGGTCATCCATAACTTCTCCACCATCATTTCTTCCATCCATAATTTATACAATTATCATTGGATAATGCAATGATTGCCTCACATTGGTAAAGACTTTTTGGAAATGATGAGAACAAATCTTGATGTGTGTGATGGATTATATTGTTGACTAAGAACGATGGAAAGGACCACTGAGCCATTCCCAGGTGGGAAACTGCTCAGGGCATTCCAAAACAATAAACAATATTTAGGTGTCATGCCCTAGTTAAACCAGTTCTTAAAACACAGGATATGTGACTTTGCCCCCATTGCTCCCTCATAAAGAATGCTTTCTAGTTTATCTTTAATTAGTAGTGAACAGGCACTAGCTGCCTGCCTAGTTTATCTTTATTCTATGAAAAAACAGAACACCTGCACATTAAAAATAATCACTTGTTCACAAAGAATAAATACATGGATCAGAGTCTGCTCTGGACTCTCAGCTCAGAATGCTGTCAGCCCCCTAATTCTCACTTTGCACTCTATTTCTTAACTCCTTCTTAAGTCTGTTTCTTAATTCCTTCAGCACCACTGCGTTGGGGTCTCTACGACTGAGCTGGTCTTGGCATGGAAAGTCTAGCATGGCTCTACAGTACTGAAGAGAACCAAGAACCAAGGAGTTAGGGCTTGGAAGGCAGAAGTGTATACTCTTAGAGGCCAACATAGTGATGATACAGATAATCAACATGAAAAAACTCCAAGAGGAAAGTAAGACTCCGGAAAACAGCTGTGGCCACCTGTTCAGGCATTTCTTTCCATCTGGACACTTGCCTTCAGAAATATTTGTCTTCTTAAACCTTCAATAACTCATTCTTTTATTTTACAAAGGATATCATTCCTTTATACTCCTTTACCTACATCTCAATCATAATATCCCAGGTGCTGAAGTCTGGAAGCAAGACCAGGATGGTATAAATTGTCCCTAAATAGATACAACCAAATAGACTTTCTGTTTTCCTATTAATCTAACACAGCAGTATAACAAAGAAAGATTAAAATACACTCAACATAATTAGCTTGAAGGGGAGGGTGGACAAAATCTGAGGGAGTTTTTGAAGATGAGGGAAGCAGATACAATGAGAATTTCTGCATACCCAACATATGAGAAGTTCATGGCACTGGAAAGGAAGGGAGGGGGGAAGGAGAAAAAACACAGAAGAGCTGACCTGTGCTCAAGTTAAGAAGAGACCAAGTGGGCCGGGCGCGGTGGCTCAAGCCTGTAATCCCAGCACTTTGGGAGGCCGAGGCGGGTGGATCACGAGGTCAAGAGATCGAGACCATCCTGGTCAACATGGTGAAACCCCGTCTC